AGGAATGCAAACAGTTCTGTAGTAGGACTGCATCAGAGCCGATTTTATACAAGAAGCTGCATCTATAATTTGACTTCTCTACAAAGCCTAAAATTTTCTCTTCCTTCGATGTATTTATTTATTTGCTTTTCTGCTATTTAATCTAAAAGTGTCCTCACTAGGACTCCCTCCTCCTTTGAATCCTGCTGGATGGGCAGTCATACTGCATTTCAGATGAAATGTCTAAATGCAGACGTCATTTCTGTGGTGCATTCCAAAAATTTAGGCCATCTTCATTTTAACTATGCTACAGGTTAATATCAGACTAAGCACTGATTGAAATAGTTTTATTTTTCCTCATTTGGGAATCTGCATGTATAAGAAAGAGATATAACTTTATAACTAACTTTATACATATATATAACTTTATATTTAATTTTATAATGCAAATCATTATACAGGCACTGGCTAATGTTCATTGCTTAGTATTAACAATTGGCCACTAGAAGTCACTTAGAGATTGGCATGGGGAAGGTATTGTCATGCTGTGCATAACATTTGCAGTGAAATACAAGAAATCAGATCTTAAAACAAACAACTTATATTCCAAAGAAACATAGCAAGTGACATTCAATAAAGTCTCTTCTCTAAAGAAAGAAGTAGGAGTTGCCAAAAGTTGTTTCTTTCAATTTATTATTGAATATTGCCTCAAGAAGTTTAGCAAGTTGCCCACAGATTTATTGTAATAGTCCATCATGGTAGTTGTAGGAATAAATTTCTCAGTTGGACATTCAATCATTTTGTCTGTGATAGAAACACAGGAATCCTAATACAGAAGCAGAGCAAACCAAACCATGCAGATACTCAGTTCTGTAATTCCATCTACAATGTTGTATTCATGTTGCAGCCCTAGCGGAGATAATTCTGAAAGTATGTGGGCTTCTGTGGTAAAGCTGTATTGTGTTTCATGTAAATGTGCATTAAAAATTACATTTTCAACCCCCCCATAAAAGAAATCTGCCGACTTGGAGAGTGCTATGCGCTTTCGAGATACTGTCTACAACTTCTGACCTTACGCTCTATTAACTTCAGTATGTTTGAAGTATGTATCAGGTCTTTTAAAGTTTCTGAATATGTTATTGATTTCATGCTTATGAAGTCTTGTGTGACTTTTCCAGAAAGGAGGTTACAACTGAATAAGTAGTATCCGAGACTATGAATGAGGTACATTTATCTCCTGCTTTAAAATAATAATCTAGTACTATGGGTGTTATCCTAGCTGCATTGAAACCGGGAAGACTTTTCGACTGACTTTTCCGTGGGCAGGATTTTACCCTCTATTCCCTTCCCCCTCTCAAAATAGGATTCTTTCCAATCTTTTTCTTTGGCTTCCCAGAGTGCTCACCAGGAACATTTGGTTATGGTTGCAAACAACTATGTGAATGCATGAATAACGCTACGTGTGACCATGTCACAGGTACTTGCTACTGCAGTCCAGGCTTCAAAGGAATCCGGTGTGACCAAGGTACAGTGCCATTCTATGTGCTAAACCTCTCCCTCTCTCTGTTTTTTAACAATGGTGAACTTGCTTTAAAAAAAAAAAAATTGAAAAATGAAATGTGCGATTTAATTTACAGTGTGTTATGAATTACTTTTAACAGCAGCTCTTATGATGGAAGAATTAAACCCCTATACTAAAATTAGCCCTGCTCTTGGATCAGAGAGGCACTCAGTGGGAGCAATCATTGGAATTATTATTCTCCTTCTAATTATTATGGTCTTGCTGGCACTGTTTGTGTGGTATCGACGGAAACAGAAGGAGAAGGGCCATGACATGCCAAGTGTATCTTATACTCCAGCCATGAGGATGACTAATACAGATTACTCACTTTCTGGTAAGGGTCTTTTTATGTTAATCAAATCTGGACTCATATTGCTATATGTTGGGGAAATATAAGCTTCTGTGTTGTATAACATGTAGTATAAAGCCTCAAAAATAATGACACTTCCATTTCTCCCCCCCGAATACCATGATTTTTTAACACTTGACCAAGCAAATGTAACTTAAAACTTATGTAAGTTGCTTCATGTATGAATGGTTATTTACAAGCTACAGGGCATCCTAGGCGTGAGATATGCTGCGTGCAGGACAGAAACTCGGGTTCTTGTCCGCTGCATCCCTTTTGCCACGCAGAGAAGCTTCCCTTTGCGGAACTTGCAGGAGCAGGCTTTTTTGCTCAAAGAATGAGGCTGACTGGGTCCCTCCTAAGATTTTATTCTGTGTTGCAGTTTATGATTTAAGCCCTCCTGTTAGTTGCTGCTTTCCTCTGTGCCCAAACCAGTCCCCATAGTCTGGATAGCTGGTGTGAATTTTCTTCTCTTCCCAGAGAGGGGAAAAGGAGGGCTATGATATGATAAAAGTTGATCTTTAAGGTCAAAAAACATACTAAGATCATATCTATTGCTTGTTTCTATCTTCTGCTACTGCTATGGAGGACAGTTTCTCTTGACAGATTAGCTAAACTTTGGAGGTGGTGATCTCCTTTTTAATGCTGTCACTCTTTGCCATTCCTCCATAGGTAGTATCAAATAGCATGCTGGATGTGAGATGACTTTACTTCTTTCTTCATTCATGTTTCCTCCAACCTGTCTCTAGTGGGGATCTCCCTGTGGGTTGCTGCCTTCTGGCTGCACTTTGCTCCGCGTCCCATTGAACGGTTGCAAGGCTGGATTTGTGTGAGGAACACAGGCTTCTGGCACAGGCAGAGGCTGGCCCAGCACCTATGCTTCCCAGTCTTCTCCTCTCTCTGGTCCTAATGCCCCTGAGGCCCTGCCACTTTTTGTTGGCTATGTATGTCTTGACTTCTGAGCTGACTGGGAGCGATGTGGCGGGCAGCTCTGTTCCCTGCCTGGGACGCACCTAGGAGGAGGCCTCTCCCACTGAGCAGATAGATAATATCATAGCCTGGCTACAGCTGGAACTCAGTCAAGTAGGTTCTGTCACGGCACCGTGACTTCCGTCCTCCTAGCAGGGGCACAGTTTCCTGTGATGAGATATCACACATCAACACCTATCTGCTCAAAACCACTGCCTAAAATCATATTTAGACCACTCAGGCTAGCAATAGAAATCCCTTCTTCTGATAACTAGAAGATGGAAGAAAAAAAAAAAAGACATCAGCCTTGGACCTCGTCCCACCGCCTCTTATTTTTGAGTTTTAGTTTTACAGGCTCTTGCTTAAGCTGTCCTTTTGGGTAAGAAAATTATGAAAGTGTTGCCAGAGAGGCAACACTGATCCCTGGCTAGATCCCAGTGCAATTTTCCCTGTAATTTGTCACATCAGCATCATTTGAAGAGCCAGATCATGAACGTGCAAAGGCAATTGTGGCACACCTCAAAAACAGCGAGGCTTTCAGATCCGAGACAGAAGATCACAGCCACAGGCATGGAAAAATGTTCTGGACTTCTCAGCCATTCATTTCTTTCTGGTTGGCACTTTATACATTTATTTACAAGACCTCCTCTACCTTATTTATTTGTGTGCTTTTCTAGTTAACGTATGTGGGACCCAGCATCTTTAAGAGGCACAACCTACAGATTTGAAAATGAGGGGAGTGCTGTTGCCGAGGTTGGGAGTTCCTGAACAGAGCAATTGAGCTTCTTCACTCAAGCAAGGGAACAAAAATCGCTCAGTTGTTTTTCTTCTGTATTTTGCCATGAATGGAGACTTCACAATCAACCTAATGGTGTCCCAGTCTCACACTCTTCAAGAAGTCAAAGAGAGGCTAATGGCGAAAACGGAAACTCTCATCCTTCAAAGCTAACAGGGACAGATGATTTTTCTCCCCAGTCACTGAGATAAAGCCATTATGTTTGAAGATGTTGGTAGCCCCGGACCATCCTTGCACGTTATGCATTTGCAGGCACTGCATCTCCCTGTACTATGGTCTTTGCATTGCTTCCAGGTGCAGCCACCTGTCCCTGAGCTCCCTATGCCACGTGACACTTAAGGACGTGAGGCAGAAAATGTTCTGGGGATGGCTGAGTTCCTGGATGCGTCACAATACCTGAGGGGTCGCATCCTCCAGCTTCTCTAGAATCTGGGATCTTTTCTGGTCTTTGGGCAATGACAGTGAGTTTAATTCTTGCAGCTGTGTCATTGCTGCTCCGTGTCAGCTCAGTCTGTGCAAAGGCTGAAGTACCAGGTCCTGGCAAGCCCAAACAGCAGTGGGCGAGTGTTGATTTGTGGACTTCTCTATAAAGAAGTATTTCCTTCCAGTTCATGTAATTTAGTGATGGGGATACTGAGACTAGGCCTTTTTTCCCCTTCTTTCTTTCTTTATGCAGTCCTTGTAACAATATAATTTCTATTACTCAGGAAGCTGCAGAGGAGTGGAGACATTCATCTCTTTTCAGAAATCACAGGGAATAGTTTTCTTCCTTCCCCCCCCCTTGACAAACTGGGCTATCTGAGCTTGCAGGAGAAAACTACGAAGTTAGAAATCACTCTGTTCCATCTTCATGTCATTATAAAAGTCTTCTGATACCAACGTTGTTTTAAGTTTAGATCTTCGTTTTAGAGGGACGTTTACAAATTCTAGACAAGAGCTTCTGAAAACTCCTTGTCAAATTCTGACTGTTCTCCGGTACACTTTCCTGCCACAACTTTCTACCTATCAGTTACCTTCCCAACTTTGGCCTTATCAACGTAGAGTGTAGCTTTTCCCTCCCTTAGAGCAGAAAGGCATCAGAAGGTGCTGATAGGCAACTTCCCCAGCAGACAAAGGGGAGATGGAAACTGAGAGGAGAGCACAAATAGAAAACAGAAACTCATAGCGTGGCTGAATGGCAAGAAGGATGTGTGTGTATGAGTGCATGTGTACGTTTGTGTGCTGCAGAGGACACTGAAGGAGACTCAGTATTACCATAGGGCTTACAGGGATTTCAGTCTTAGCCTGGATTTTTCCGTGTGGATTAGGGGCAAAATATTATGCAGTTGTATTTGTACAATAAATACAACCCTATGCAAACCCATGAGCTTCAGTGGGAACTCAACCTGAACAATGGCTGCAAGATCAAGCTCTGTATGGGCATAGCAATGTGGCTAAACTGAAAAGCCACTGTTTTTACTGTGCTCGTTTCTTCTTATGGGGTAGTGTTGCCATTGTTTCTCAGTAGTCACATGTGCACATCCCTAGCTCCTGGAGGCACACAACGATTGTGTAATTTCTTCCAGCACATTAATTTATTTCTGGAGGATGCTTTTGGTCTTTGAGTCTTCAGCTCTTCTGATGCAGATAATCCATGTGTACGTATGAAAGAGATTATAAGAAAGGGGGGAATCCCCTGAGCAACCCTTAGACTCTTTTGAATTTGTGGATGGAAGGATATGGCAGCAAAACACAGTCTGCCCAGCCAGCAATGGGAGGAAAAACTACCCACACTGGGAGAGAGCTTAACTGCAGCACAAGGATCTGAGAGCAGCCTTTCCTCAGTAAGCCTGAAAGCTAAATGATACTCACCAATGTGGCAACGATACACCCACATCCAGTAGAGAACTTCAAGGCACAGGTTCTTTAACTCTGTTCTCAAGAAGATTGGGACAGATGGTTTTACTATGCAGTAGTGTTGGAGAGTAGCAGAGATTTCTCTTGAGGACCTTGGGTTTGTGCTGAAGTGGTGCTTGAGGTCTTAAGCAGTGTCTTAACAAACTTTCACGTGTGGGTGAATCACTGCCTGGAAGAAGAAGAAAATGATACCATTTTGTAGCTTGAAATATCTAGTTTTTATATTTATTCGAGAGTTCTTGCTTATTCCTTTTTTTCATGGTTTGGCCTCGTGCCCAATTTCCATGCTACACTGTCCTGCTCCCACAGCAGGATCTAGATGGCTGCGCTTTGTGTCATCTCATGATACAGCGTCCTTGTCTGGAGCAGAAGCTCAGTCTTTCAAGGCACAGAGCACTCTCACCTTAATGCAGACTTCATGAGACTTCCACTGCATTGAAACCTGGCAAATGTTAAACCACTTCCCCTCATTGGATCTGGAGTGCAACCTGAGGCTTGGGGGGCTCATGGCAGGAGTCTGTCATCATGGATCCCTTCACAGGATTGGTCTCTCCATGTTAACATCAACTTATCCCTTGTTTTATTCTTTTTGGTCTTCATTTAAATCATTCTCATTTTTAGTCATTTAAATCTTTTGCATACTGTTCAGAACAGAATAAAATTCTTTCTTTTTTTTTAATGAGGAGTAGCATGAGGTTTGAACTTGATGTATTTCCTGCTAGCAGTTATAAGAGCTTCATGAATAAATGTGTAGAAAATGGACTGTGCTACCAAGGTAAATCAACCTATGTGGGTACTTAAGTATCAGCCAGATGGAATTGGACAGGAGGAGTAATTCTGAATAGATGCACGCAATGAAGGAAGAAAAGATTTGGGGCGATTCAGACTTGTGTACGAGCGCGAATTCAGCACTGTGCTGCACAGTGAGGCAGCCTGGTAGACTTTCCCTTCGAGTGATTTTGGGTGCATAGACAAGCTACTGCCAGATAAGCTGGGTGTGAACTTGTAACATGTTCGCTGCCTCCCTGTCAGCATCCGCAGGCACCCTCTTATCTTGCAGCAACCGCGGTGGGACGTACCCCTGTGTCCTTGAGCTGCTCCTTCTTGCCACGGCTGAGAGGGGGCCTGGCAGATAAGAGATGGGGGAAGACAGAGCTGGTGTGACTCAAATGCAAACGCTCACCTACGGAGCAGGAAGGCATGGATTGGCGTGTCCGTGTTTAACTGTGGCTGCAGGGCGCGAGGAGCGAGGACAAGCTCTGCTCTTCTGGTGGGCAACGGGTCCCTGGCCGGCAGGTCAGAGCCTCCTGTGAGCAGCTGTGTTTGCGGTGGGCGTGCGCTGATCACTGCACGTCCATGCCAGCCCCGGGTCTCGTTTGCAGCCCCCGGAGGTAGCTGCTGCTTGTTAATTCTATTGTAAATGTCACCGAGTTATAGTTCAGGGACGGCACAGTCCCGGCAGGCCACGCGGTTTCCCCGGCTGCTGCCTCGGGCTGAAACACCCATCCCAATAACTGATCCAGAGCAACCTTGCACAGAGGAGGGCGCAAGCCCAACCTTTTGCAGCAGTGTCTGAGCACCAGGTGACAGTTATCAGTCACTAGCGCAAAAGAGTCAAATGCAAAGACTTTAGTCCTGGAAATACATCCTGGTCTGAGGTGCTTTGTTAGTGATAATGTTGGGAAAATAACTAGAACTAAAAGGTCTTGCAGTTACTACAAAAGTAGAGTGGACCTCAGAGTTGCTCTGTGAGTCTCAGCAAGAAGAAACGCTCGGTCAGCAATGCACGCACGTGTGCAGCTTCCCCTCTCAGCTCTGTGCACCGGTGCTTCCGTAATAGACACCCTACAGATAAACCCACTTTCTCGAAAGAGGTTATTTTGCAGTAAATTAAACTAAATCTAGATCTCCACAAGATGTCAGCAAAGCAAAGTGCATGTTCATATGAATGCAATCACAGAATTGGAGAAGCACAGGGCAGGCAGGAGGGCTGAGACCATCTGGATGTCCCCCTCCCGGGGCAGTACCAGCCATGTCTGTGTCCTTCCTGACCAAGCTGCTTTTAACCTTTGTTAAAGCACTCTGGTGCTGGGGATGAGTTGGCACTCCAATACTTCATTACCCTCACCACCTGTAAGCTTTTCCTGTAACTAACCTCCTTCCAGCAATTTAAGCCCATGGGTTATTAAAACTAATCCATTTATTTACTTCTTGCAGGGCTTGGCAGTTTAAATTATGTTGTTTCAGGTTAAGTCTTTCACCTTTTCTTCTGATACTACTTTGAAGTATTTATCAATTTTTTATTAAACTGAAACCAGATTGGGATTGATGTTTGCATTAGAATTGCTAGTATAAATAGGATGGCTTTCTTGGTAAATTGTTTTGTTTGATAAATACGTTCATACGTTGAAGAGATGAAATAGATAAAAATGTCTCTAAAAGTAACAATGTAATTGCTGAAATTTGCCTTTCAGTGCTGCTATTTTCCTTTTTTTTTTAAGCCTTTACATAAACAGTTCTGTAAAATATTTTTGACTCCTTGGCACAGTTAATTGCATTTTAATTAAAGGTTTCATCACTACACCGGTTATTGTCATCAGGGGCTCTTACATGTGTTCAAACTATGGAAGAAACTATGTTGCAGACCTGCCATTTTACAATTGTTCCCTCACCCGTAACGCAGTTGGACTGTGAGGAAGTATTTTTTAAAATCTTCAGAAAGATGGAATTCTATATTCTTGAAATATTTTGCTTTTCTCTCTTATATTTAATTGGTTTCATACTAATAGTAAGGAACTTCACACCGTGATAATGCAGGATAGATTCGATCTGGAGATGTCTTATAACAGCCAGTGCTCTAACAAAATGCTTATCGGTTTCCTAAACTTGATCTTCTCTAGTGTGTGTTCAGTTGCTTAAGTATCATTATGGCTTCCAAAGTATTTTGTGATGACTTGTTTTCTTCCCAGATCTATCTCAAGGTAGCGGCAGTGTACACTGCTTTTCCAATCCAAGCTACCACACTCTGTCATGTGGTGTGACTTCACGCTGCTTTACCAGTAATCTGGATGGAAACAGCTCCAGTAAGGTAGATATTATCCCACCCCACTGCAGTCGTGTTCTTATCAGTTCAAGGAAATAAACTGAAGCAATGCCTGTTGGATGCTGCTCTCTGCCAGCACTATTTAATATCCAGTGTAGCAGTATCCTGGCACCATAGCTCTAATGGACACAGAAAGGTCTGCTTTCCCCTGCATGTACCTCCATAATCTGTGCATGGTAACTGGAGTTTCAGCACATGCCAGCATGGGTCCACAGGCCTTAGAGTCTCAGCAACTTTAAGGTACGTTCATTTCTAGAAAAGATAAATTTTCCATTAATAAAACAAAAGTAGAATTAACAAAGCATTAAGTCAGTAATCTACCTTTGCCATGTCATTCGTTGCTGGATCGGTACCATACAAATTCCACTCAACGCAGCCAAGAGGCTAGATGCAGGCAGGTATCTGGGGTGGGTTTGAGCGCTGTTCCCGTCCCCAGGCTTTCCGAGAGCTTCACTGCTCCTCACAGATCTTCAGTAGCGTTCTTTAGATTGTATTGCTCAAATGTCCAGTGGCACCTTGCTTATCACATGTTGCTACTGATTTCCTGTGACCCTTCATGGACTATACTATTAAGAAATTCAATGTTTGAGCTATAGATTTAAAGATATGATAAATGGTAAGAGAGCGCTTCCTTTAGAGCCATAATAAGCCAAGGTGGGGCGGGAGGAAGGGAACAGACAAAAAAGGAAATGTAATTGATTTAATCAAGAATGCCAGCTTTATAAATGGTAATACTTGCAGGCTGTGTCACCTTAATCCAAATGTAGCTCTGCAACTAAAAAGTCACAAGAACAAGATTAATGGAAAAAAAAGATACTAAGCTACTGAAAAGGGTGTGCGAAAATATTTCCACGTATGCTCCTTTAAGACGTTTCTTGGTTATTAGAAGAAAATCTCATTAAAATGTAATAAAAAGCCTGACTCTAGAGATTTCTCAGAGAAAAGTTTAGGCAGATGTGTAAATATGTTTTCCCATGTAGACGGTCCCCTTGCATCATGCATTTTTGCTCCCCAAATTGAAAGTGCAAATGCTCATAATGTCAAATTTAGGATGAACACCATGAGTGTGGGTCTGCACTACTAATCCTGTAGCAGTAGTTGAAATGAATTCAGCAAAGGTCAAGGCAAGCACCTATCTTGATTTTTCCAGCCTGCAATGCCAGCTTGTCACGTAGCCACTTCAAACAGTCAGCTGCTGAAAAGGAATAAAACCCGAGCAATGCATTTGGACTAGCCCAGAAGCTGTTTGCCTTGCTGTGCCACTGGCTATCACGCAGTTGATCAAAATGTGGTCTTGCTATTTAAAAAAGGAAAAACACTGGATTGGGTATTTTTAGGACACTTACCAAAATATATGGCCTGACTTTTCCTTTAGATCTCCCACCATCTTACTTATTCATGAGAATATTTTGCAGCACTGAATAGCTGAGGATGGCCAAAAATATGCTGCTTCTCACTACGCAGTTCTCCGGCCAAGTAAGACAAAAGAGCATATAAAGCCCCTAATGGCTGCTTTAATGAGTTTCATTTCCTAATCAGTTTGTCTGGTGCCATTGCCGCTTTCTGCCGGGAAATGTGCACAAGTTATACTTGGAAGGTTCATGTCTTTATAGTGCCAGCTGGGGTCACAGAGGAGCCAGCACAGATGCAAAAAGAAAAAATGCCAGAGGAGCTGTGAAAGGCTGAGCGGGGCCCTGGCTGTGCGGCCCTGGCTGTGCTCGCAGGGCGCCGTGCCTCGAGACGAGGGGCTGGAGCCCGCTCCTCCGGCCCAGCCAGAAAGACCGCTCCGGCGAAGGGGCACAGAGGGGACAGTGGACACATGCAATCCTGCTCCAGCTGGAGGACTGCTCTAGGGTCCTCTCTCTGCCCCTCCTGTCCTCTTCCCTCTTCCTGTATCTCCTTTTGTTTTTTCTCTCCTCTTCCCTTGTGCCTTCTCCACTTTATTATCTTTTCTGTTTCCTCTCACATCCACTTCCCTGTTATGTTTTTCTCACCCTTGATATGTGTATTTTTCCGTTTTCTTTCCTACTTCTCCCCGCACTTGTTGACCCTGCTGTCACTATCAGCGCACGCGGAGGCACTTCCCTCGGGACGCAGGCAGGCGGGGGGGTGGGCGCTAGCGAGTGGCCACTGCAGACCTCTCCCTGGGGAAGGTCCACCAGCACCCTCAGGGCCACAGTATGCGAGGCAGGTCTCTTCATCAGGAGTCATGCTAAGCCTTCCAGCCTTACATGGCCAAAGGGGAGGGCCCTCACCTCCCGATTTCCCCGGTAAAGGTGAGTGGGAGGATGCGGGGAGAGGAAGAGAAGAGGCTAAGAAAAGGCTGGGCTTCTTTTTACCTAGCAAAAGGACTGCTGAGGAGGAGTCTGACTGCCATCTATAAAAACACTGGGGTGAACACCAGGAGGGAGAAGAGCTCTTTAAGTTAGATGACAGCGTTGGCACAACAACAAAATGAGGATGAGCTGGCCATGAATACATCTAGGCTGGGAATTCAATTTCTAACAACAGCGAGACTCTGGAAGGGCTTCCCAGTGAGAGTAACGGGACAGAGAAACATGATCACTGTTCAGACGGTGCTCGAGCAGTTCAGTGAGGGATTAGGGCAAGGGGCTGGATGCAGTGCCAAGGCCCTTCCAGCCCGGTGTCCCCAAACCTGCTCCCGTTGCCAGCAGGAGTCAACAGGACAGAGCTAGTCTCTGCAGAAGGTCCAGGGGACTGGTCCTGCATCCCTGGCATTAGGGAGGCAGCAGAGGGGCCCAGCGTCCCAATGCGAGCTGTGAGCTACCAGCACCTTCGTACGACACATAAACGCTCTTCCCATGTGACTGAGCTTGCTAGTTATCTTGGGTGATATGCTGATATTTTACTAGTAGTTTGGAAGAAGCCAAGGCCAGCTCTCTATTTGGGTTTTTGCATGAATATAGGAATATAGGAATATATCTCACTTTTACAAATGACTGCAAACGTATGTGAAAAATATTCTATCTATCTAAAGCATGCGGCTGCCGCACTGGTCTGTCTGAGCAACCGGCATAATCTCACCTTGCTCTTTTGCAGAGCTGTTAATTCCACCCTCCCTCCCTTCCAAGGGAGATCAGCATCGCCGTGAGAGCCCAGATGATGCTAGTTTCTACAGACATCATAAAAATCAATTGCTATTAGATGTCCTGTACTGAATTTTTAAAGCTGGCAGATTCACAGCTATTAAAGGAAGTTCTAAATTCTGCCAAAGACTTTGCATAAAATTAGAAATTGCAAAACAGAGGTCACTGGAAATGGTCTGACTGGATATTACCCAAATAATAAAAAGGAATTCAATGACCAAAAGCACTGTTAAAGTAGATTTGACTAAAATTTGCCCAAGAAAAAGGTGAGGACTGCAAATATAGAACAACCGCTTAGTGTTCAAGATGGCCCTCCGAAACTTAGAAACATGGGCTTGGACGCTGGATGCCCTGAAGTCGATAGTCAGGGAAGTTAATGGCAAAACTCTCATCAATCTCTATCCTGCAGGATGAAGGTATGACAGAGTTAGTGCCAGCGCTTCTTTGCCTAATTACCTTGGGCGCCTTAGAAAATCTAAGCATTGACAAATTGCATGTTGGTGATGAGCTTGCCTTTGCAGTCTCTGCAGCTATCTCAGATGGGCAAATAATGACTTGTTTTTACTCACACAAGTTGCTCATTGATCTTAAAAGAAGTGTTGCCAGCTATGAGGTAGTTTTAACCAGGTTGCTAAAATTACAAGGTAGGATTTTTAGGGTATAAATTTGCTAGGAAGTATTTTTCCTCTGGAAAAGCAATTTTGTTTCACAGTAAAAATTAAAGTATCTTCTATCTTAAGAGAGAAATGTTAACAAATTATACTGCGTTAACAAATGATAATAGCAAAAGGGACAGCTGTAATCACATTTCTTCATAATTACTGCATTCTGAAAAACGTAGAAATGTCCCCAAATCATTTAATTAAAAAATCAGTTCTTGCCCATAGCTCTTCATGCCAAATTTAGGTTTGTGAGCTGATTTATAAATCCTGCAAAAACAAGGCTTTTAATAGAAACTCCAAGACTGCAGTAAATGTGATCTAAATGGTGCAGCTGGGTTGAAAAATCAGCATTCATGTTATTGCTGCAAGTTTTAAAATAAAGAAAAAAAGCCATGGGCCTAGCTGATGACAAGTGACAATGAAGTTAGTGGGGCTGCACTGATTTACACAGGCTGAACCTGGGGCCAAAAGGGGAGGCTTCCTGCCTCGGTGAAGACATTACAAAATGCTCTGGTTTTCATTGCCTCATTGGTGCTTGTTTGTTCTGACTGCCCCGTCCGTCCGTCCGTCCTGCGTATCCCCGTCGGTGTTTATGGTCCTTGTCTTAGGGGAGTAAAAGGAGCTGCTGAATAATAAAGAAATGACTCCTGTGTTGTCAACTGGTAGAGACCAGATGCGCAGCCTGTGGCAGGAGCAAGGATGTGCAGTCACAGCCGCTGCTCTCAGGCCGTGACAGCTCTAGAAATATTGCAGGCAACCAGCGTTATCAACTTTCTCTCTACTCCGGGCACGTCCTTGAGGAGAGCGCCTGATGCAAAGGTGCCGAATGGGCTGACGACCTTAGTGGGAATATAGAGACAGAAAATGAGAAGGAGCAGACCGAAGCAAAGCTATCGCTGTGCTGCGGGTGCTGTCTTCTGTGAGATTCATGGCTTGCAGGGCCACAAGGGACCATTGTGATCATGTGGCCTCACTCCCTGCAGAGCACAGGGCCCAGCTCCCCCTGAATTAATGCCTTTTTCAAGGTCACTGCTGGTGGCTCAGCAACAGTGGCTCTTTCAGCTAGAGACTCTCTTTGAGACGGAGTTGAAATGGGCTCCTTTCTCACCCAGCATGCTGGCATTAATCTATCAGTGTGTGTGTATACACATATATATAATGTATGTATATGTATGTATATGTACGTGTGTGTGTATTTGTGTTAGTTAGTGTAATCACACTATTGTGGGTCCTGAATCCTTCCTCCGGGGAAGGAGGTCAGCCCATCTGGAGCTTAGTTACGTGCTTTGCAAATGATGAGCTCTGTCTGTGTAAAAGCTTCAGCTGAATAGCTCTGGAAATACTGTGCATTTGCTTGCAGAGCAACCCAACTGTGTGTGTGTGTATGTGGGTGGGTGGGTGCGCGCACGCATGCACACCCTTTTCTACTCTCTGCTGTGTCTGTGCACCGCTTGCACTGTGGTTTCTCCTGTGTTTGTATAAACCAGAGCATATTACATATCAGACCCCTTACTGCATCCTAAATTCATGGAATTCAATCCGCAGTATTCAGTCGTTGAGGGCAAGGTTTTGCCTCTGGTTGTTATGAGTCTTCACCCAAATGAAACCCAGTTTCTCAGATTAGATAGATCAATGCTGATGTTCGGTTTGTAAAATGTAGTGTATTTGTCCTAAGTGTGGGGCTCCTGGGAGAGAGAAGTTTGCAGACGCTGTCCCTGGCACTAAGGGAGAGGCTGGCGAGGGTCCCCATCACGGTCCTGTGGGTCCCCATCAGAGTCTTGCGTGTCCCCATCGCAGTCCAGCGGGTCTCCATCATGGTTCTGCGGGTCCCATCGTGGTCCTGTGTGTCCCCATCGTGGAGGGGACACCAGCTAGCCCTGCTCCTCCACTGCTTATTGGGGTACTACCGCACAGGCAAACTCGGGGGTTCAGTTTTGTTCCCCATCTTAGAACCCATTATGAACAGAGAAACAAAAATTAATGAGAGAGCAGGAAAAATGAAATGTTCTGGTAACTTTGAATACTTTATTTTAATTTTAACCTCCTTTAAACATTTTCATGTAAAATGGCAGGCCTAAGCCACACCATCTGACACACAGACTGGAGGCTTTCCATGTCGGGAACAGGCTCAGGGGAGTGACAGTAGCTTCGAAACTTTTAATTCTTCCGACACGGGAGTTGGGAGTCGCACTGACGCTTCCTCACGAGCAGCTGTAGTTTCA